CCTTATGGAATTTAAGACGAACTTCATCAGGTCGCGTGAGCCATTAATTAAATAAAAAACCGGCCAAGTTTGAGTTGGACTCGCGCACGAAAGGCTCTGTTTCATCTAATATATAAAATTCCCGCGTCACGGTGTTTGTAATTTAACTCTTCCAAAACGGCTGGACCGATTTTTGTGAAATTTTGTGTGCATAACGGCCAGGGTGGAGAATAGAACAACATCTATTATATTAGATTTTTCATCCCTCTAAATGTTAAGGGTGGTCCACCCCAAATATTTTTTTTACCCTACAACTAATTTATATGGCAAAACGTTTGCCGGGTCAGCTAGTTAAATATAAAATCAAATCTACGATTATGTTTCGTAGAGGAAGGCAACTCCTAAGTTGTGTTTTAAAAAATATAGTTTATCTTTTTTTTAACAATTTTTAAAGATGTTGCCAGAGTGTTAGCAAACATAAAAAGCCTTCTGCTAGCTGTGGTACTTCTATCTTATAGCTGGCCTATTTGAGCAGCAGGAGCATTTATTTATGATATTGGTGTTGATTGTATTGAAAGGTGTAGTGGGCGTAGTGAGTAGTGCCTTTTGCCCCAGAGGGTTGGGGTCGAAACCCACTAGTGGAAAAATATTGTGTGATGAACATAGTATTTTTCAAGTATCTGGGTGTTTACATATTTATATTATGTATTTATGTAGGTACCAAAGAAAAGTACGTTTATTAGTTATCTAGCACCCAAAGTAACAAGCGTTGCTTAGTTTGGGACTAGAGAACGTTGGGTAAAAATGTGTTCCAAATATTTATTATCATGGTGGGGAATATTTATCATTATTATTATTTAAACCACCATTGTAAATATTTGTAAGTATTATAATACCATTTGATGTAAAAATATAGAATGAAATACAAAGAAAATTTATCGTGGCCTTTACTTGATTTATATATACTATGTTGTTTATTGAACTTACATTGAATAGGTAACAATAATGACGATTTTAAATCATATTTTTAAAAAGCCGCGGATAACAGCTAGTTATCTATAAAATCGGCAAAAACATAATGTCTGTTGTATGGGAGCCTCACTTAAATATTTTTTTAGTTTGTTTTTATTGTGGCAATAGAATTACATCATCTGTAAAAATGTCAACTGTCTAACTATCGTGGTTCATGAGATACAGCCTGGTGACAGACGAATAGACAGACAGACAGCGGAGCCATAGTAATGGGGTCCCGTTTCACCCTTTGAGTATGGAACCCTAAAAACGCATGGAATGAACAATGGCTAGGTGAAAACGTTGGAGTTCCCCTTTATCTTTGGACGACGCGACGTGAAAGTTTCGTTGAGCGGTCGCTTTAATTTCTTTCTGCCACTTTGAACCTTTCCTAATAAAATAAATATTAAAGTAATAATACAACTGTAAACATTGCGCGTTTAGTAATTGTAATATTTATTTTATCAATATAGAAAGATTTTCGGGCGTTTATTCGATCTCTTTGTAGGTATTACAATATTGCCACAATCCATTAACATTTCTACTTAATGACTTAACTTATAATTGACCATCAAGAATTGTAAGCAACAGTTTACACGCAGATATAGTAAAAAAAAATTGAATGCGATTATTGTATGCAAGTCTTGACAAGAAATAATTGCAAATGTATTTTGTTTACACCAATGCAATTATGTTTAGGCGATTATTGCTTTCAAGTTTTGACTTGTCTTAACACATGCTTGTATGTGCGTGTACAATTTATTGGCGTGTTGCTTCAAGTATTGCACGTATTTGCGTTGACAAATTTTTCATGCAAGTATTGAAGGTTTTTCAAAGGCCTGTTTTTTTAAAAAAATGGCTCAATAATAAGTGTTCAAGTTTGATTATGCCGATTAATAATATTTCATTGAGATTTATTTATTATGATCCATATATTATTATTCATATTTTTATCCAACTTTTTTTTACGACCTTTTCTCAATATTTCTATCCTCAAAATAACAGCAACGATAAAATACCCTCACTATTTTTTTTTAATTTTTCACAAAGGAAAAGAGAATGCAGTTGAATACAAGAATTGCTTAAGAAATTATTGTGTGTGCTGTTTACACCAAGGAAAGTTTTGAAACAAAACTTGAAGCAAGTCTTGTTCAACAGTCAAGAATGTTATGTGTTGTTTAGACAATGCAACTCATTTATTGCTTCAATTTAATTGTATATAACAGGCAAGAAACTTGCACCGTGTAAATGGGCCTTAAACCATTTGCCAGTGTCACTTCATAGTTTTAATTTTTCCTGATGTATTTTTGTAAATTTTGAATACTGGTTCCATAATTTAAAAAAATCTAAATACATTAATAAACTTGTACATAAATGTATAAATTGTAAAATACAAGCAAGTCTGTTTTAAGTGAATTTATGTGTAGAACACTGCTTGTGCGTTTGAATACACTTTGTCAACTTTTAATGAACCCGATTACCTCCATCACCTATTGAAGCCCAAAAATATTATACTTCCACGTTATATTGATTGATCTGCTGTCGGGCTGCGGTATTTCCCCGGTCAAGCCAAGGTCAATCAGAAGTTGGGTGGTGCCTCGAAGGTTACTATTGACATCAAATTGAAACTTCCATGTCTATAAACGTTTTGATCTATTTCAAGAATACTGCGATTTGCCAAATCCTTACTTCCTTACTAATATTATAAAGGCAAAAGTTTGTATGTATGGATGGATGTTTGTTACTCTTTCAAACAAAAACTAGTGAATAGATTTTAATGAAACTACAATAATATAGCTTATACATCAGAATAAGACGTAGGCTATATTTTATGTGTATCTATCTTTCTGTCTGAATGTTACGCCTTCAGCCTATTCTACGCAGACGTAGTCGCGGGCGGCAGCTAGTAAATTCATATTGCTCATTTCATTCCCTAACCAAGGTAATATGTAGGATGATAGATATTAAAGGGACACCGATTCCTTCCAATGACGATTTATAAAGGCATTGAAATAAAGAAACACCCTTATATTGAAAAACGAATTAAAAATTATTGTTTAAAGTTAAAATTTTATATGAAGACTGAATAAGTCACTGGAGTTTTCTATTCTAATCTAGGCTTCAATGAGATGACAAGTTGAGCAACTTATTCTGTTTGAAGTATCTTTCAAATAAAACAAAAAAATATTTCAAAGATACGTCAAAATTCGACAGTTCAAAATGGAGCATTAGATCGAAGGAGTCACGGTGTCGACATATTTATTAATGAATATACACCCTAATAAACATCAATTCGTATTTACTCTAGGTAACGCGAAGTTACAATCACCCATCGATATTAGTTAGTAGTTATTGAGTAAATAAATGGAACGATACTATCGGCGTGCGCCATAAAAGTTGTCACCAAAAATGTGAAACTATAAACGTCACCCAATTTAACTGGAAAATGTGGATCCTAACTTTTATAAAAATTGCTTATACAGACTAAATTTTTCAACTAGGTAGGGATAGCGACATGCAGAGTTATAGATGATAGAGAAAATTTTTCACACTTAGTTTCGTGTGTAAAATTTTCTTGTTTTCATATACTTTATCTTTTTTTCTAAAACCTTTCATCTTATCGTATTGAGCGTCATAATTTAGAAGTAGTTAAATGGCAAGCCGAAGGAAATATTTAAATTTGACTTGCATTATCTCTTTTGTATTCATATGGAAAAAAAAACAGTTTATGTATCAATTTGTGTAACGGATGATGGCTTTGCGAATTGCAGCGTACCCGATTTATATGTGATCGATTGACACACGCGGCCAGGCTTGGGGATGAATTAAAAATTATCTGTACCGTATATCGCGCAAAATGTCGGCTTTAGCGCGTCACGATCCCTTGCAGTTGTAATCACACAACGTTGATTGACGTTTTTCCGAATTGAAATTGATTTTTTGAAGTTATACTTCTTTTGGTTTGTTTGGAAACGATTATGAGAGTAAAGTTTTACGATCAACAGCGGTTTTGCCACCACTGCAACATATGTGCCGAGGAGACGGCCCAACATGCACTGGATGAGTGCCCAGCCTGGCGGGAGCAGCGCCGAGAGCTGATGGCTATCGTGGGGCACGATCTCTCGCTACCCGCCGTGGTTCGCGCTATGGTGGACAGCGAGATGTCGTGGGGTGCCGTCCTTGCATTCTGCGAGGACATAATCACCCGGAAGGAGGCCGCGGAGAGAGAGAGGGAGGCAACTGCCACCCTGGAAATCCGCCGCCGGAGACCAGGGCGCAGGAGGCTGGCCTACGCGCGCAATCTTCCCCCCTGATAGCAAGCCCCGGGGCGGCAGATGTGGGACAAACTGCTGCCCCGCGGAGGGATTGAGAGGGGTGCCGTGCTAATTGCACCGACACGGCACCATTTGGCTGGACCGGGTGTCTAAGCACCCGGGGAGAGGAGGCCTGAGAAGGCCACAGTCGCGCCTGGGTTCGCGGAAGATTGCGTTTTTGTGTTCCCGTGTCCCCGGCAATGCGACAGTGCAGGTGCCACGTGCGTTTTTTAGTGGGTACCCCGTAACTCCCACATACCCCTGATGCCTACCCACAAGGCGGCGGGGGATCCATAAAGGATTTTTTTTTCCCACGTAAAAAAAAAAGCGACCAACTTCAGGGTATAACTATATGGTATTGGTTGTAGTTATACCCTATATATAACTTTACAGGGTATAACTACAACCAATAACTTTTTGATATTTACTTATAATTCCAAGTTATCTAATTAAACCGGTATCAATGGGAGTCTTTTTCACGAACAAAGAGTGTGTCTTCTGTAATTTTGTGTTGTCTCTGATTTTTAGTTATTAATTTTTAGGTTATGCTAAAAAGTATAAATTCTTACGTGCATTTATAAGTTGTACACACATTTTTTTTTATAATTTTTATTTATAATGAGACACTTAAGTACTTATTTGTACACCAGTCGGTAGATGATTAAATATGAGCGCATGTGTTTTGAACCTTATGTCATGGAATGGGTTAAGGGGCCTCAACAAACATCTTTTGAGACATTAAAACTTGTTGAAGTATGTAAGTGCGGACATTAGCACTATAAAAAATTTAAATATCCAAATCATCAAGGTCATGGTGCTTCTTTTGATGAACCAATGAGGCTCGGATGACATGCCAATGACTTATTGAACCAATGCTGTCGGATAACGGTCCATTATTCCTCATCGCTCACGTTCGTCGATCTAATAGAATAAGATCTAATAGATCTAATAGAAAGAAGTTGAAGAATGTCCGGTTGAAATCCTTTGGCCTTTAACCAAGATGGGTTGTGACGCGACTCCGCGATAGACGCAGAAAGTTTAATAGAGTATTAATTGATCATTAAAAGTTGTTCCATAGTTCTTACATAAATAAATTGCTTCTATGCAATTTTGCTGCATGTTTCTTTTTTTTTGGTTTACTTGCAAATCTCCTCCCGTCCATTACCAATCTTATGTGTTTACGAATTTAACGTAAGTTCTGAATATAATTAAGCGTACACTTTAAGTTCATAAAAAAGACCTTTTCTTCATAAAGTATTACAATGACATGTCCTTACAACTCGTATGTAAGCACTATTTCACATAACATTCTTAATTGAGCAGTAATAAACGCCCAGCTTCCAAACTCGTTAATAGTTCCAAACGAGGCAGCGTTGCAGGCTACCTAACTTTCCAGAGACTCTGCCCAACTTTTCCCTAACATTTCATTCGGCTTACTTTATTTTCTTCTTCGACTCCGAGGAGCGTTTAAGTGTTTATCAATGATCCAAGGAGTGTTCACGGAACTATCTGAGAGAGTATATTTATAATTTTAGTATAATTTCTATTTTCGGTTAGTTTATTGTAATGTTTATTGGTTAATATTTTCTGTAATTAATTTAGTACAAAATATATTCTATTTACTTTTATTTTTACCAAATTAAATTAAGGCATAGAACTAGACAACCACAATAAGCATTAATATTTAAAAATCACGTAGAAATGGGGATTTCTACGTGCGACTCAGTCCCATTAAAATATTAGTAAATTACACGCTTTGATGAACAGTAAACGCTGCAAATGTACTCGGAAATATGTGCAGTTTCATTAAGCTGGAGCACTTCTTTATTTTGAATTATGGCATTTTAGTTATATTTTTAATTACAAGGCCTTGTTATAGGGGCCAGTTATCAATTCTCTCTTTGACTTCATCTAAACCTTAATGTACAAACAATGTATGGGTTTTTGTCATGTGTTAGGAAAAAAGTTGTGTATGGTCTTTGAATTAACTCAATTTATATTAATAATACTTTCAATCTGTATACTGTTCGTTCTTCATTAAAAGCAGATCTAACTATCTCACGAGCTAGATACGGCTATCCACGTGGGTAGAGCTATGTGCTCACATGTCACATGTAGTCAAAATTCAAATTCAATATAGAAGCACTACACTTACTTATTGTTTGTCAAAACACCTCTACCGGTTCAGAAAGAAAGCCCCTGTGATGAACTGGGGTCACTAATAAGCCATTGAGGTTTGGTATCTTGTGTACGCCTTCGTATGTACATATTGTCAATGAAGTGTTAGGCACTAGGTTTAAATCATAGTTTTATTATTTTAAATGGTTTTTTTATTTAATATTTTAATGTGTGTACCTAAACGGTATATTTTCGACCATTTATCGTTTCCAAGTATTAAACGTGAATCAAGTTGCTTTCTATAAATTTCAATGACAAGAGAATAATGCCAACACATTTTTAAGAAAGCTTTTTTAATAACTTTATTTATTGTTGGGACGGAATAATGAATATTGGCTTATTAATAAATTCTTTACGATTGCGAATTTAGAGTAAATGTGCAATCGTTAAGAATTTATAAATTTAGAAGTTATTTAATGTTATCGTTTAAATTATACCATTACAGTTGTCATCTGTAGCTGTAAAATCTTAAATAAACATTTATAAAAGGAATCCCCTTTGCATTGAAATTCATAATACTACATTGAAATATAATATTTATTATTACAATTTGTAAGACTCTTTGAATTTAAATTCTGTAATATTTATAAAAATTATCATTACATATAAACTGATAGCGCCTGTTTTGCTTCAAGAACGCAAGCAATAAAAACGTAATTATTACACTAAAGCAGTTTTAATAGCAATCAAAACGATCTTTGATCTTTAGTTGCGTTCATAAGACTTGTAGTACCGTCATTAAAAAGAAGCAATTAACATGAACTATTATTTGTAAAATTGCCGTTTTTTTATTTCAAATCATTATATAAACTATAATGATTACCTCCACAAGCTGTGTTAGATATTATGTAAATATCGAAAGGTATATTATTTGATTTATTATCTAAAGTCACATGATTTCCTCGACACTTCTAATTATCTTATCCTTTATCTTTTATCCTTTAAACGAGCAATTCTTGTATATATATATATATAATTGGAATCTCGGAAATGGCTCCAGCGATTTTCATGAAATTTAGTATGTAGCGTAGATTCGGGGGCGAAAAATCGATCTGACTAGGTTTCATTTTTAGAAAGTGTTGTTTTATCTTAGATTTCAGGGAATTAAAAATATTATTCGAATACGATGGTAAATTTCACCGAAAAAAAAATGTTATAATAGCTCGGTCGGTAATCGGGCGGCCGCTAACAAACAGCCACGAAACAGAAGGCCGTGGTTCGTATCACGATCATTTACACGCTTTTTTTTTTACTTTTTTTCGATTCCAGATCATTGCTTTCTTTATCTTTTATTTTTTGTCGATTTGTTATTTTGTTATTTTTTTCTTTTATTTTTGTTCATATTTTCTTATTATTACGTCGGTAAGATCGAAACATATTATGCATATTTCATTACTTAGTAATTTGTATCTAAATGTAATTTCCAAAATACACGATTTACCAAAAAAAAAAAAACAAACCGAGCAAAGCTCGGTCCTCCAGGTACTATTTTTAAAAGTAATTTAATTTAATTCACGAAAGTAATGACGTAAACGGTAATGACACAAATGTCTATATATAAATTCATACACTTTTAGGAGAACGTAAAAAGCAAAAAAGTTCAGTACTATAACGAAGATAGAGTAGAAATCAAACTCTAGCTCGTGAGGTAAGGAGCAGTTTCATCTGTTGCATAAATGGCTTGGTTGAATAAGCACCACAGTCTTACAAAGGTTCTGAGTAAAATCGTCTAGTTCACTCGGGTCCTCTGGGAGCCCGTGGAACATCGAGCCAGTTTGTTACTTATTATTTTTTGCATTGCGTCTGATAAGTAGAGACTGTAGGCGTAAAATCTTCAGGTGAAAAGCATATAACTCAAAGGCATAAGCGTATGCCTGGCTCTTCCCAACGTGGAGACTACCAGCTCTATGTCACATGAAGCTCTTGAAGTCCACGGACTTAAGACAAGAACATCATTCAATGAAGATAAAGTGAATGTGAGTCTTTTGGGTTTTATGCCCATGGAAGGCGATCACAATAAGTTCTAAAAATGGTTTCGCGTGAAAATAGACGCTAAATAGAACCTAATTTCATGATCAGTTACCTTAACTATGCAATCTTTAATTTTTGGGGTAGTCTCTGCGCTTAACACATTTTTAAGTTAAGGATTTTTTTATTAACAATTTTTTATATTTATTGTTTCAGTGGTCACTGGATGTACCGATGGCATCGGAAAGGAATACGCTAGAGAGGTAATTAATAACTTTATTCACAAAATATTTATTTATCCCTGTAAATTCTTGTAACCTTCTTATACCATCATCATCGTTTAAACTAATGATTTTCCCCGGATCAAGTTACAATTGTAAATTACACTAATAGAATCTAGAGTAATCACCGCTGTATTACAAATTCAACAACGTGGATAGATAAAAGTCATAACAAATAATCTTATGAAAACTAGAACTATTTTTATAAACAATGTAATATTAATATTTTTAAATTCTTAATACACAGCTGATGTCTTTGATAGTTGGCGACAACAATCGAACATTTTGAGTTATAATCTTAAACGATCCAAAATCACATTCGTAAGCTATGTGGTTGTATTAATATCTGTAATATTTACTTTATCAATTCGTAACATCTAATGAAATATATGCTGTTATTTTTTGCCATTTTGATTGTATAAAATGGTCCGAAAGATATTGATCTGTTATATATTTTATGTTATTAAAATACCCAAGATATTCGATATTGACGTCAAGGTAATAAATGAAACGATTCCATTTCATGAGTGTATTTAAGTAATATTTCAGAAACATCTCTTCTGTTTTTATCTACATCGTTTCATAAGGTTTTACCTTATGAAACATGTTTGAATAGTCTTTGTGGACTTTTCTGTACAACTTTTTTTTCTGTTTTCGTACTTTAACTAAGTTGAAAGCAAAATTGGCCGTCTAAAATAAATGTAAAGAAAGGGATTAGAATTTCGTTAATTTTCATAATAACTTGCGGTAGACGGGGCTTTCTTGGTGGCTTCAAATAATCTTCAAGTTTGGGTCGGCTCACTTAAAAGGTCCGTTGATGACGTTTTACTTTCAAAGGACACCCTCAAAGGTTTCTCAATCGTTTTTCCATAATTACTTTTCGGATGACGTGTAAATAATATTTCGTGTATAATTTCAAATACAGCGAAATAGATTTATCTGTGCTTGTGTTGCGTCTTGTTTTTTTTTTTCACCAGGAAATCCAACAGAAATAATAGCGACAAGTTTACCTTTGAGTTAATTTCAGGAACTTAAAGCGATTGAAGCATAAATTAATAATAACAACGCTTACAGAATATGCTTATTATAATATCTAAGTGACGCTATAAATTTTATGTGTAACGGTCGCTCGCACTCAATATAACTTAAGCTACTGGAGTTAAAATCTGTGTCGGCACCAATGTAATTAGAAACTTCCATTTGAGCTGCTCTGCAAAAACATTGTGTGTAAATCTGCATATTTAATAAACAATCACTTGAAATAAATGAAACTGACTTCCTATCACTAGCCATACTAACGTAATATTTTCAACTAACTAATGACACATTTTTCAACGATTCAACGGACCATTATTTATTACCTACGTACCATGATAGCCATTATACTGCTGTAGAAGTTAATACAGAACAAATAAAATACCATTTCCCCTCATAGACTACAGAAATACAAACACATGTTTTAAAATATACCATGTTTTGTAAAAAATATGTTGGCCAATGATTTTTAAATGCGATACATGATACACATTTTTATGGTAGAGCTACCATAGCCATAGACAATCCATACCGTTTTGATAACAATAGTCCGGGTTGTTTGTAAGTTTTCATTTCGTCTCGTGAGTGTTGTTACTGGTATCCATTCCCTCTTAAAAGTAACCAAAGCCGCTGTAAACCCATGGGTATTAATTCCAAGTAACAGACATATAAGGTGTTTTATCTTTCGCTGAATTTTGTTTGTAGGTTACATAATTATGGAATAATAACTAATACACAAATTTTTAACCGAAAATCTAAACCTATTTAATTATGTTATTCGTTATATTTAATTTCTTAAGACCGTTAACGTACGAATCTTCGCTGGAACTTGAACAAAATTAATAAATTAATTATTGGTAACTTTAAATTATTAAATATCATTATCATACTAATATCTTTGAAGCACTAATGTAAGTAATCCATTGCCATACCATCTTATCGAATTTTAATACGACCCTTATTTATATAATGTACTTGTATGGATTTGTTGGTACATTTAATGGATTCGTGATGTCGCGGTTTTAACGCGTGTTGCCATCGGCCCTAAAATCTTAAGCTGGGAATTATCACGCGTATTATTCTGTTTAAATAAATATTTATGTAATAGTTAACTATTTGGGACTACTTAACTTATTTTTTAACTTAGCTTTGCAAATTATCGCATTGTCTGATATTATGTTTGGACTAAATTTAAAGAAATTCGTTTTTTTATGACCAACTAATAATCAAAATTAGCATCATTTTATTCAGATGGAAGTCAAATTTTCCAACTTAGATTTATCGGGTCACGCGCCGCCCTACAGGAAGTGTATGCAATTTTGATGTATTTCATAATTAGGTACATATTAATGTATGTTTTGAGTCCATCTTCTGAAATTATTCCCTGAGTTTTGTTACTGATATAAGCGTAAAATATTTTATTATATCAACCTAATTTGATATTGTAAAAAGGCAAGAAAATTAAAACTCAAGGTTTGATATACTAATGTATGTATATGTATATCAGAAAACTTAGCCTGTACATTTCAAATTCAAAAGCTGAGCGTGAATGCAGAGCCATTTCGAGTTCGATTTACGCAGTGGGAGGGAGAAACTTCTCATTCTATTTTCTACAAATTCTAATGTTTCATCTTAAGTACAGAAATAAGCGCTATAAGCATTTTAATTTGTTACCAAATCGTTATTTTGGTCCCTAACTCATGTAACCCAGTGTTAATTGCCGTTCTTTGTTGCAGTTAGCAGCCCGAGGCTGCGATATTGTACTCGTTAGCCGTTCGATGGATAAGTTGAGGGCTACTGCGGAGGAAATAGGTAAACGGGATCAATGAACAAGTTTTTGTTCTATCTTTGTTTATACTATAATTTTTAACAAAAAGAAAACCGACTTCAATCAGAAAATTAAAAACGTTGTTAATAAATATAACATTCAATGATTGCCCTCGATTTCTCTGGGATGCCATCGTCAGATCCGGGTTTCCTTACCATGGTACCAACCTTGGGATATCACCTTTCCGACAAAAAAAGAATCTTCAAAATCTGCTCGAACACACATAAAAAAAACAGTCAAATTGAGAAACCTCCTCCTTTTTTGAAGTCGGTTAAAAATAACATATTATTCCCTATAACACATAATTATGTTTCCCAAATTGTACAGAATTTCCTCTATGTTCTTTTAATTTGTCATCTTTTCAATGGAATCGTAGACCTTTCTACTTATTGAGTGCTTAATTTTTCTAAAATTTAAAAGTTCTATTTCAACCCAATATAATTGATGATACATTTTCAATCCATGAATATTTTGTCTGTTATAATAGAATTTTAAGACTTTGTTTAATTGTGTGTTACAAGGTTAAAGCTTTGTAATGCCTCTCTCATAAAAATCTGTGTCCCTGTTGGCGAAAAACATTAGTAATTGAGATTCATAATCTTCTTTTGATGCAAATTTCTTATATCTACGGAAGTTGGCACTGCAAGAAAAATGCTAATCACTTTGTGCCCGATCCGGACTAGATGATGGAGACATCAAAAATTTGCCAATGTTTTTTATCTGGGATTGTCCTGATACATATTCTGTTTGCCAATTTTGTTGTAACTTTTGTATGAATGTATTATGTGATGTGTGGTAATTGACCCATTCTTCAATCATTCACAATGTCATTTATAAACGCCGTTTCGTTTATTAAACAAACATGATGCCGTATTAGAAGTGACTTAATTAATTTAAGGATAAATTGTGGGCATTGATTTAAAAGCTAGAAATGATTTACGTAGTAAATAAATTTAATATATGTAAGCGTTGCTATTGGTTTCGATTTCGAGGGTCGTGGGTTCGAATCCCACATGGTTCAAGTATTTATGTCACACACAAATTATTGTCCCGGATTTAAGTGTTTGTTACCCAAGGAGCATTGATTTCCAGCAGGCGGCCCGTCGTAAAAAATATAACCAAAACCCCTTACAACCTATTGTGTCGACCATATAGGTGGGAAAAGGGCACGAGGGTGATGTGGCGTTTAATACACATGTATCAGTAAACGACACATCGTACGGTCATTACCACATAGAATACAACAAAGTAGTCCCGCTGTTTGTCTGTCTATAGGGACAAAAGGCAAATAGGTTTGCTTAAATCTTTAAAACTACGCAACGGATCTTGATGCGGCTTTTTTCGTAGATAGAGTGATTCAAGATGAAGGTTTGTATGTATAACACATTGCATCCGTGTGAAGCCGGGGCGGTTAGCTAGTGTAATATAAAGGGGATAATGTTAAAAAGGTGAAAAAAGAAAACAACTTGAGATGTGTTTTCCTTTTTGATTTATACAGAAAAGGAATTCAACGTGAGCACGAAGATAATTCAGGCGAACTTCAGCGATGGCGATGCTATCTATGACAAAATAGGAAGGGAAATTGCGGACCTCGAGATTGGCACTCTGGTCAACAACGTGGGCGTGTCTTACACTTACCCCGAGTACTTCCTCGATATACCCGATTGGTGAGCTATTACAGACCGGATCGTGTTTTTTTCTTCTGTTGAAATAATCCGATTAATTTTACTTTATTCATAATATTATTTAGTGCTCGCAATTATTCGAGTGCAGCGATATAGTGAATTAATATGTTTAAATCCATAAAATATTTGTTTTCTTCAAAGTTTCTAATGTTAACGCCCCATACAAAAGTAATAATTATAATTTAATGAATTTCGAGCTTAGACACCGTGACATAAAATCTCTCATCATTGCTTAAAGAATCTCTATATTATTTTATATATTCATTAGATATTATTTTGTTTCCTAAATAAACCCTGTATTGTAACTCTGCTATCAAATACTTTGATGACTCCGTGGCGCAATGCAAGGTATTGGCTTCGGCGTCGGGGGTCGTGGGTTCGATTCCCACACGGGACAACTATTTGTGTGACCCACATATATTTGTTTCGCATCTGGGTGTTTGTCCGCGTGAAATTTATGTTTGTAAAACGTCCTTACAACACAGAATAGAGTTATCCTAAAGTAAGGGCAATGTTTAAAAAAAAAAAGAGATATTCCTTTTTTAACCCCTTGTTCGTATTTTGGTTCAGTGTTTAATTGTTTTATAGTCGTATTCCCGTATTGATTTCCATTTTAAAACTCGAATATCATAGGTACAGGCACCCCACTTATTTACCTACATATATCGTACCTATAAGTTGGGTGCTCATGCCTAATAACGAAATGTGGAACTAGCCGTATAGACAGAAATTTATGGATATAAAGAGCTATCTGGCTAGTTAACGTTAAATGATCCGTATATCGAACGAATCACGAACTCGTGTTGTTTTATTTCGACCATCGTAAATCGTCTACGGTGCAACTGAAACGGGATATTACGGAAATAACTCGCCAATAGAGCTGTAACCGTTCGTTAAAGGCCAAAGCGGGAATTCGGGATTTTTGCGGCGAAAATTTCCCAGAGCAGGTGCTCTGTCGGAGTATTTCCACCTTAGGAGTGTCGGTGAATTGAAATATTATTCTCGCTATCGTCGCCTCATCGGTTGGGCGTTATTTGTAGCGCTTTCTTTATTACTCCTACGCACTACATATTCGTTTGTGCATTATTTTATATTTGATTTTTCTTTTTCTGTTAAACGGTAACACCTTTAGTTCCAAAAGCTTGAGTGACTTGACAGATTGTATTTGTTAAGTCACTCAAGCTTATTTATTGTAGTCTGTTATAGATATGTTACAGATAATGTGTACATAAGTTGTATATACTGTGTGAATTGTAATACTAATGAATTTCCGTCAATTAAATATCTAAACGTAGGCCATAGGTAGTTGACATGTATACACGAAGGTAATAATAGAGGGATAGAGCGAGGCTATTCAAAAACAAACACAAATCTATTTAAAGTAATTTATTATTTAAAAAACACTACTAATTTATTATCTAAACTAAAATAACTGAAGATACATTCTTTACCGTAACTAGTCAAACTTTTACTTAGTTGTACGCAAAGTTGTGATCTGCCTCTAACTTTAACGGCTGTGCAAACAAAGGCAATGTCGGGAAATTAATAGACAAGTATATTCGTTTACACAGTTAAACCGTCGAGTGGGCAGAGTAAATAAACTTTATCTTAATTAGGGCCTGTCTGTCTCCCAAGAGTCGCGTAATGCTTAGATGATGGGCCCTTAAATTAATATAATCTCTATTACTGGCGTTTGCAATGTAACCCATGTTACGATCCCCTCCTTTGTAAGACCTGACTTTAGGGTCATTACATCACTTAAGTTTTACTACTCTACGTAATGCTTGTTTCCTCCAAGTTTATTTCTATTACGGCCACTCATTATTATCCGATTTTATGCTTTTACATCATATTTTTTTATGTTTATATGTCTGTTTATTGAGAAAATAAGTGTTCTTAATAATCGTATTAAAAAAAATCATGACAATTTTGCATTCAATCTTGGTGCAATAGCTGCAAATAGTCTTATTAACAATTTTAATATTTAGCAACTGTTTTGCTATATTAGGTATATATATATGTATATTAGTATACTGAAGGCGTTAGTGTACCTATTTAAAGCGTAGTCTTTTTAGCCCAAAAAGATGTATCTTTTATTGGACCGGTTCTCAAAGATTTTTGTATGTGTTGTTTTTTTTCCGTACTTATTATTATTTATGCTTTACCTATCCAAATAAGTTTAAGGTGGATGTTACCTACCCAAAGTTTTATTATAGTAATGCTCGTATCTGTTGCAACCTTTGTATATGTGAGATCACACTGGGGAAATCATGAATTTTTCTGTGAAAATTTGATTTGTAATCAAAAGTAAAAAAGGTTGTGACGGGTAATCATTTTTGTTGGTAATTAATCGATGAATATGCCAACGAATCTTAGTTAAATTCATATGTCGTCCAATCATAAGCATCCAAATCTACGACTAGTTTCTTTTTTTTATGTGTGAAAAGTTGTCAAGCGAACAAACGATTCACCTGATGTTAAGCGAATACCGCCGCCCATGGACATCTGCTACACCCAAGGGTTGCAGATGCGTTGACAACCTTTTGAAAATTGGGCTCCGGCCACCTCACTCGCCAAATGAAACGCGAAAGTATTACACTTCCACTTTACGCCGGACGAGCCTGCCCATTCGTGCAACAACCGAGGCTGCTGCGTGGCCCTACCACCGTAAAATTTCTATGATAATCGTTTTGTTTTATTGTTACTGATTTTTAACCAGGGAGCAAACTACTGGAAACATTTTGAGGACCAACTGCGTGTCGGCAACACGCATGACAGCGATGATAATGCCCGGCATGCTAAGACGTGGGAAGGGCGTTGTCATAAACCTTGGATCTGGTTCATCCATGATACCTAGCCCCCTGCTTACTGTTTACGCAGCTTCTAAGGTAAGAGCCCCTTACTATTTGAAAGAAACAAATCTAGACTTCTGCTAATGCATACAATTCGAATTTTAACATTTATTCATTGAATAAAATATTACTATCAGCTAGGATTCGAATCCGTGACTCTTAGTATTCTCACTGCTTAGTTATACTATCATATATAACAGTACATTGCTTGTAGCACTTGGGAAGATACTAAGTAAACAATATAAACATTGAAAATATAAATGTACTACCGCATTAAAATCATAAAAAATTCACATCCTGACTTGATAAGTTAAAATATCTTAACAGCGTACTAGTTTACTATGCGAAGTTAGTGATTTTGGATATTTAATCTGGTAACAACGTTAGTATAATGAGTCCGTTTTTATAATAATTATTAATTAATAAAAAACATTAAAATAAAAACAAGTTACCCAAGGCTATATAAAGTACAGAGCAGCTTCATAATGATAATAGCAGACATTCTGCTCAATACAGAAAAGTCTCAGTTAAAGTAGTGTAAGTAAATAACGTTTCAATAGACATGAATAATATATCTTTTCCAAACCCCAAAAACAAGTGCAAGTATCGTAGAAAGCACAAATTTATATTATTTTAGTTTCTTGTTTCAATTACTCATTTTGCTCTACGTTTTCTCTTTCTGTCGAATTTAAAATAATATATACCTTGTGTTGTAATAAATTTGAATTTTGATTTAATTTGAATCTTCCATATTATACAGTAAAATTAAAGAATATTTAATTGTCTGTCTGATTACATGACTGCAATGGCAAAACGATGAGCAAGTGCGACAGAGGTAAGAGATCTGGGGATCCCTTGTTGTTTAGGCTCTACGGAATGCATTACTTTCCTCTTCAGTGTCGTCTTTATAGTGGAATGATAGTATGATGTATTTAGTGCCCTTACAGGATGCGAGGGGCCTTTATGTTCGATGTCATACTTAAGCGTTACGTAGAGTAAGGTCAGTAATATTATGTATACAATTCCTTTGCAGGCCTACGTTGATAAGCTCTCGGAGGGTCTCGAAATGGAGTATGGGAAAAGGGGCATTATTGTTCAATGCGTAATGCCCGGATTCGTCTGCTCCAATATGTCTGGCATACGCCGTAGCTCTTTCTTCGCGCCAACCGCTAAAGTATTCGTTAAATCCGCCATCAGCTTAGTCGGGACGACGTCAAGGACTACTGGATATTTGCCTCACGCTTTGTTCGTGAATGCAATAAACTCGATTCACGCGTTAACTGGACGCTTCGCGGTGTGGCTTGTTACGCGATCGATGGAGACCAGCCGAAGAAAGGCGTTGAAGAAGTATAAAAAACAGTAATTCTGCACGAACACAATACCGGAACTGTTCGGCCACCCTGACCGCTTTGACCTTTAAGGCTGCCGGATAAGCTTTTAAATAAACAATTTCCAAGATTCCTAGCTTCCGCAGTCCAGTTCCGGTCTGATATATTTAAATCCTTTAAATTTTGCTTTAATTGATCGTTTGCATTTCAACTAACCAAACTTGTATTTCCGTAAAAGATAATGAACATTGGCGTTCAACATATTAATCCGAGGTCAGACATAAAAATTATCATTATTAACCTATTTCTACCTATATGCAAAAGCAAACGAAGTAATTACAAAAAAAAAAACATTTCGCAAACTTATTTCGAGGATTTAAATATTATGTGAAGTAATTAGCAAACATTTTTTTTCATCTACTCTTAATTCCAAAATGTAAAATTTTTCCACAGCTTGTTTTGTTCACGGTTGCATGACTCTATTTTATACCAAAGATGAGCTATTTTTATTTTCACATAGAGTTAACACATTAAAAAATAACGTTGTAAATAAAATGATAACAAAGGAAGGTAGACGGTTGGTAGTTTTTCTTGGGTAAATAATAAGTTTTTTTTGTAATGTTGTTAAACATATAGCAGTTGGTCTATCATTAAACAAAAGCTTATGTTCCTGTGTAATTACAGCTAAAAACTACACTTAACTATTATACTCTATTCTTAATTTCAGGTTATATTTATTATTAGACAGGTTATTATTTTCTTATTGTGTCGAATTATCAAATGCATTTTACCAACATTCAATTAGAGGGCAAACGTTCTAGAGTTGTCGGATTCATTTGTTCCTCATGATATGAATATTAAATAATTCTTTTCACGTGATAAAACACCAATTAGCCTAATTACCAATTAAAAGAATCCGATTTTTCTCACTTTATTATCCTAACCTATCATCGTTATTGTTACGCTTGAAAGCATTTATGTAATGAGCTCATTATTTATTTTATGTATTTATACACAATCCAAATGATAAAATTTACGTTTTGTGAAACGGTAGCATATAACATACATTTTCAATCTGTAAATGTGTTTAGGGATTTGCCGCTATAAGTAGTAATGTTGAAAGTATAACAACTATGTCTAATCATTTCGGTAAATATCATAGAATTATTTTGGTACTGTCGTCACAAAATGTGCTTATAATCGACCTATAACTCTACGTTAACTGGACGTAACTAGAGTAAGATGAGCTTCAATGACTGACATTTATTAAGGATCATATTTCGTGTCAACAGTACACGTATAGTTAGATGGGAATTGTATTAGAATAAGAGGTATAGATGAATAAAGTGCTTTTGCCAAATTCCAACACAGTTTATTGATGTCACTTTATAGTCCGAAATGTATATAACACACTTTTATTACCATTAGTATTGCATGAAAGATATTTATACCAATTTAATTTTTATAATACCAAGTATCTATTCGTTACTATTACGTTATGTGAACTAATTTAGTTTTTACTTAACATATATTTCCACCGTTTTCAAAGAACTAGTAACAGTAATTAGAAAATCATTGAATTTAATAGTAGGAAATAGTAGGAAAGTTACGCAACTCAGTATAAAAGGATTAAACTATACCTAGACTTCTCTATACTACAGTGATTATTATCGCTCCTGATGATTTAAACGTTATAAAAAAGAAAGAACAAGAAGAATAAAGGCAGATTATGTCTTAGGACCAACAATGACAGACGAGTTAAGTTTTTGAAAGAATATTGATAAGAATCAAATGTTGCTACAGCTCGAGAATATAATGTTCTTTCTTACTGTTCAGATAACACTATCACCAGGATATCATGAAGTTCAAGGAGCTTATTATCATTAATTGATAAAGTATTAAATGTATCCATCTAGTAATTAAAATCGGTTAAGAAATAGCTCGACAGGAATGGTCCGCCAATGTAGACAATTACGATGTTAGTATGGATAACACGTTATTTATGTCTGTAGCTTTTACTGAACATCTAATTGTATTGGTGAAAAGTGAAAAGGCCTGTTCTGGTCAAAACGTACGTTAATACAAACACAAATAGGTTGCAGGAAGTACTAAAGTACGTAAACGTACATATTTAAATAAAGCCGTGGTTATTATTACTAGATAATAAGCCATTGATATCGTGTATATCGGGTATGGTTCTCGCCCTGCAAACTGATGGTTCTTGCGTAATATATTGTAAGTACATCCGAATCAGTTATGTAGTTAAAAATGACCAATTAAATGATGGTGTTCCCAAGCCACTTTTGAATAATTTTCATAAAAAATGTGGGAATGTTTATTTATGCAAAATAGAAAGCATGCCAATGGGATTTAATTATACTTTGAAGGTTTAAAGGATGTATAAATGTAAAAAAAAATACTGTACATATCGTTCATGGTGTTGGGTTTAATATTAATACTATATGATAAGCGGAACGATTCAGAAGGTTGTAATAGTCAAATCCGTGTTATTGTTTTTGGCAATATAGTATTTTTAAACAATTTTTAATGTTTTATCTTAAATGCAACGATTAGCACAATCATAAATTTATATAAAAAATAATATGGGCTTATAAAAATCTAACTGACATTCATTTGGATCACAATGCTTTGTGTCAATGGAGAAATTCTTTAGGGCCTTTGACACGTTAGCCGAAGGAACATGGCACAGCAGTTTGTGTTATGATGTTTATGAGTCTCGAAACATTGGCTATGTTAGCGCCACGCAATAGATTTCGTTGTTGCGAGAATGGGCAGGTCCGTCCGGGTGAGTACCACGACTCACAGGGGACCACCGTAAAGTGGAATTGTTATATTTCTGCGTTTCAACTGTCGAGTGAGGTAGCCGGGACCCACTTTATTAAATGGTGCAACGCATCTGCAACCCCACGGGTGTTGTAAATGTCAATGGGCGACGGTTACCACTTAACATCAGGTGAAGCACTGGTGAAAAAAAACTTTGTAGATCAATACGGGTAAATAATAGAATGAGGATACATTGTAATAAACAATTTTAAGTTTTTATTAAGATAAAACTTAAAATGTTTACATAAATTGCCAAAAATTTTTCGCCACTGCCGAGATTCGAACCTGAGACTTGAGGGAATTCGAACCGGGAATTGAGTCCAGATGCTCTAACCACAAAGATAATCCTCATATTAGAATCCACCCTGGATATCCTCATATTAGATATTCTTAGATATCCTGTTGCTCCTCAGACAACTAATCTTTATAGAACATGACAAGTGCGTAGCGAGCAACATGACGAAATCTTTATTTCTACCATACCGTATTTTTTTAGTAAAAAATTAATTAATTAGGGCCTCGTCCTTTATGAAACTTATTAAACTAAAAGACAGATTAAATAAACTTAACAAAATATTTGTATTTTATTGCCTATTATCTCTTTTTTCGCAGGAAAGGGAAAATAGAAGCCTGACTCTTCCAAGATTATTTATTAAAACACGGAAATTGTTCGGCAGCTTTAACTTACTCCTAAAAATACTGTGGTTATTTATAAAGAAATTTGTTATTTTAATTTAATATATTTTCGTTTTTAAATTACACTAATATTTATTGCTCCTTTTCATAAGCCTTATTTCTTAAAATCCTACGTCTTAGATGGAGAACTGAAGAAAGAAGAACTTCGTAATCATCGGATATGAATGTTCTAAGAAATGGTTGGCTTTAAAAATATCATGAATACACCGTAAAACTGTGGTAGTAACAGTCTTCGCTGTTGCACGAATGGGCAGGTCCATCTGGGGAAGTACCACGACCTCACAGAAACTTTACGGGGGTCACAAATGTCCATAGGCGGCGTTTATCACTTACGGAAAGCCCGCCACCAGCTAACTCGCCTGCCTCCTTTTCAAAAAAAATATTACTATCTAAAGCATCCAATATAATCCATTTTCGGTTACGTTACATCTAAACTTAATATGTAGAGGTTTACGGTTAACGAAAACATTGTCGTTATAAACTGAGTATTGGCACTACCCTAACTTAGTATAAATAAGGAGAAAAAAGGCATAAAAATAAAACAAGTCGAGTATCAGCCTGTACATGTCCCACTGCTGGGCAAATGCCTCCTCTGTGCATAGGGTATTAAGGCATATTCAACCAGGCGGCCATGTTTATATACATTTATATTTTTAATTCCTTTTATGTGGCGACGGGTTCAGACAGCATTAAGCAATTAAAGTTGGTTTGAAATTTATTTTGAGAGTTGCGTAATGGTCCTTTGATGTTACCTACATTAAAATATCCATCTGTTGCCGGACGCTGAGCTAAACCTTTGACTACTAGTCGGATGAATTCACATTATCCTTATGAAATAATAACAAGGAACAAATTTGAATAAACTAGATGAATAATATATTATTTCCACTTCATGACAGTTGTGAGTCGTGATAGCTCAGTGTCCGTGCGCCGCCTTTAAATTCAATTTACTCGAGCAACTTGAGTTCGATCCCCGGTCCCAGCAACAACGAAATTTTCGATTTTAAGTGGTGACTTACCACGTGTTCGGCGGTGATGTAAAAAATCGTGAGGAAACCTGCATATTTTCGAAATAATAAAAAAAATGTTTATGCCAAAATGGACCACATATTTTGGAAAAAAACTTGCCAATCCGCAGTGGGGTCGCGTGGTGGACTATGCCCTGATACCCTCTGTACAGAGGAGGCCTTTGCCCAGCAGTGGGACATTTACAGACTGTTATTTGTGGCAGTTGATATTACTTATGTTGATATTACTTATCCTTATATCCGTTCTAGTGTAGCAATTTGGATACACTTAATCCTCGACGAAAATACATAATCTTCTTACTTAAACAAATATTACCGATTTATCGCGTTTATTTTTTATTTTAATTCCTCACGTTTCGAACCCTTTACAGCGTTCATAGCGAATTAAAATTAAAAATATTCGGGATCAACAAAATTATTAAGAGTATATATACAACAGCAAACAAAAATATATAAAACAAAAATATATAAACGTTAAAAAAATCCGTAATTAAAATAAAATATTTTGCAAACAAACTAATACAGTAAAAAAGATACAAATTTTGTAACAACCTTTACAACTATAACTGAGTGATTCATACATTCAGAGACTCTTTCATTCGTTACAACAGCGTCGCGTTACAAGTCTCTCCTAAAGGCCCATTTACACGGTGCCAGTTTCTTGCCTGTTGTATACAATTAAATTGAAGCAATAAATGAGTTGCATGGTCTAAACAACAAATGGTCTTAACAATTATTGCGCGCAATTTATTGCATTCAATTATTGCTCTTGTATGTACAAGAAAATGCCATCGTGTAAATGGGCCTTAACAGTATGTTTTATCTCTTTTAAATTCATTCAAAAAATTCATATGCGTTGGGACCTTTACAAATGAACTTTTCGTTACAGTTTTATACGCAAGGGTGTTCTAAAATTGTTTGCTTTGGAAAATTTTATAACTCGGTCAATATTGATGTTTAAAGAATATAAATGTTTGATACAACTTTAAAAAGTGGCACAAGAGACACTACAGTTATAAAGATGCAACAACTAACACATCGTGTAATAAGCGGAGACCTCATCATAGTAAGAATGATAGAAATTTAATGAGCGACCTGGTCTTATCTATTGATAATAAATAATAGATAAAGACCAGGTGTCGCTCTTCAGGAGATGATACTTCATAGAATTACGCAAAACCTTCTGCTGACTTGTGATGAGTCATATATACAAAATTAGATGATGATAAAAAATAGATAAATCAACTTTGTAACAGTATCACATTTGAATATTGATAAAGCAAATCACATTGAATGTATATTGCTATTTACAACATCAGGCGTAAAATTTATTGTTATATATATATATATATATATATAATATTAGTAAGTCTTCATTTACTATCAGAGTAAATATTATGGGATTATCATTGAATATATAATATTGTATATTATCATTGTTTATAATGTGCAAAGACGAAGTATTTTCTTGTGTAAGAGTTTCGTCTATATAATATATAATCTATATATATATATATCCCAAAACATTTATTAAACGACTTTTTGGGGGGCTTAAAACGGATAGTACATAATTTACATGCAATATTAAGACTGATTGGCAATTTCACATTAAAAAAAATCTATATTAAAATACTACAAGTGCATCAGTATTAAAAGGTTGTCAACGCATCTGCAACCCTTGGGTTTAGCAGATGTCTATGGTATTCACTTAACATCAGGTGAACTGCCTGCTAGCTTGTCAACTTTTCACATAAGAAAAAGGCCACCCGTTAATAACTATGCAATTGTTATTGTTATTGCAACATTATTATTAGCGTTCATTTTACGTATTTTAAGTACGTAACAATTTATATACTTATTAGACATAAAATGAACGCGCGATACCGAAAAAGCTCAAGATTTTCTCTGTGTTGTTTAATACACGTACACAGGTGTTTTCCATGTTAAATTAATATTCACTACGAGCTCCTAATTTCTTCATTAGACTTGAGCGAAGCGAGCGATGAATATTCTTTTGAATTTTGATGAATATTCTTATGAATATTTTTTCAATTTTATTTTATCCGTGCCCACTTATTCTATATGTCTTTTCGTATCCAATTCATTTAATATTTATATTTAAAAAAACGATCTATATTTAAAAAAAATCGATGAAAGTGTTAAGAATGTGGAGCGAACAATATAAAAAACCAAACCAATTACCTATTGTTTTTTTTAATGTTTACATCCTATGTGACAGCAATTAGCATGGAAAAATAAGATCCACTTGTTTGTGGTGGCCCCGTTATTCGTTATGCCAATTTGTTTTTTCCCATGTAATTTAATTATCTCCATTGCTAATTTGCCGCTAAAGATATTTAGCGCCTGTTTTCATTTTAAATTATATTTGTTTTAACTCAACAAACGGTTGGATTAAAATTTCCGGCATCGTTTAATAAATGCGGACAATTTTTTGGGAGTCTTTTTTGTAAAAGTATGAAATATTTGGAAAGGAAAAATATCCAAAACGTATCGTAGTATGTGCTCTTTTTCATGGCTGCAATCCGTACCGCTGCACTAGTACGCGCCAATAAAATTGATTTATCGATCATTTTTATGAAATAGACGAAACTCTTATACAAGAAAATATTTCGTTATTGGACACTATAAACAATTACATCTTGAAATAACAAACTATATATCTGTAACAATCTATTAATGCTGTTTAAACCTGGATGGGATATTTCTAAATATTCTAAGGAAATTTTTTAGCTTTAACCATTTTTTAGCTCTTTAAAAAACATTATTCAGCACTGGCTATGATTAACGTCAAATTAAAAAACAAATGTACTCTATAATCTATAACATAATTTACACTAGATGATTGTCACAAATCCTTCCAAAACTAACGTCAACAAAATGAACAAATTCAAGCGTATATAAAATTATTTCTGCAAAGTGCATTATAAACGAAATGACGAAGGCGGTATGAAATTTAATAATGAGTGAAATTTGGCGGTTTAGAACCGTTAAAAAAAGTGACTCCAATGTCAACGGACCGTGTGTTAACCTCAACCAGGTTTTAATGGTACTTGGAACAGTGCTAATATTATTGATTTTGTGGTACGTCGTATGTCAAATGGTCACTGGGAGAGATCAGTGTTAGAGAACGTTAAACGTTACCGCTATTTTCGAAACTTTTTTACATATAACTGAGGAATACCGACATGAAAATGTCGCCAGATACATGTTTAAAAACGCAAAGCCAAGACCGGAATATTACTTGCTGTGCGTATATGTAGTATGTTTCACACAAAAAAACTACTAAAATATGGTTCACAATTTTCATCAATAAATTAATGATTAGCTGAATAAATCGAACGATCGGCTTTTATTTTTATAATCCATCCAATCCATTCAATCAGCCGTTTGCAGTCCACTGCTGGACATAGGCCTCCCCAAGAGTACGCCACAGAGTACGATCTTCCGCTTTCCTCATCCAGCCACTACCAGCGACCTTTCTCAGGTCATCGGTCCACCTGGCATTTTTATAATGCATATATAAAAATATTATATCTGTGTTATTTATCTATTGCCCAATATTTATTATTAGTAAAGGTGCAGATTAGCAGCCCAGGTTTTTTTTTTTTTTTCTCTTATAAATATTTTTAAACGATAAAAAAGCGTAGTCATAATTAGATGCTAAGAGTAAAAACTGCTTACTTAAAAATAAATATTAAAACCTATTAATTCCATCATTACGGAAATACAATACTATTACAAAAAACGCTACTCAGCTTATGTTTTTATTTTGATGGAATTTTTATCTTGGAATTATTGCGGCTAATTCTAGATAGAGGTTTATTGTAAGTTATGTTTGTACGATGAGTTGGAAAAAATTCTCTTACCGCACCTTTTGATAATGTGG